TCAGCGAAAATGAAATGGTTTTGTGTTCCCTACATGCGCCCCTACAATATGCAAGAAACCGTTTTGAGAAAGCGTGGCTTGCCCTGAAAGACCTCCCTTGTAAGTGACACTCATCGCTGGATGTGTTCAGTTCTCAGATTCGAAGAAAAATGAAGACTTCAGATCCTCAAGTCCAAGTTGAACTAAAATTTATTAAGGAGATTCTGTGGATCAGGATTAATGAGCGAAATTTTCAGGACTGAGATGCGCTTTCAGCTGCTCGCCCTTTTCGTTTCTTTGACATTTAGTTCGGCAGTGAGTTACTTACAAAATAGTAACCGCTTTTTTCTTAACCATTGCTGAAGAAGAAGTTCCAGAAGTAATTAGAATCATATGTATATACTACATTTCCAAAGCACTATAGATTTTTTATAGCACGAATCTGAGAGTCGAGGTGACGACGAATGTGGAAAAAGTGAGTGTAATAATTCAGTTTATAGTCGAGTGACTAAAGAGAGTTTGTTGCAGTTCCGAAAGTTTCGGATTACCTTATACACTGGGGAGAACGTGCTTCGCCTGGAGAGATACCGTGGGCGGCTCTTCTTCTTCTGGATGACAGCGGATGTTAGTTCCCTCAATAATCTTCTGAATTTTCCGTTGTTTCTTATTTCTGTGCTATAGCGCAGTACTAAAAGCGGTCAATCCTGAAGCAGCTTGAAGCAAAATCAATATTGCATCTTTACTAATACGAGAATTCGTTTTGGAAGCTGTCAAACTTGGCAATTTTAGCAATTCGTGCGTCGGGATTTATACAAGCTACACAACTAGAGTTGCACATAATCCTGTAACAGCTGCAGGTCTAAGAAGCTTACTTCTATAGCCATTATATGTTAACTTTTAGCGGTTGGACCAACTCCTTGGGGCCATGCTTTACAACCATCCCGCTAATTTTGCTGTGCAGAGAAACTTCAGGTTCTGAGTCCCGAACTCTACACTATTGCCATTGCTGCAAGTATCTAGTACTGGAAGTTTTTTTGACCTGAACACCTTCTATCAAATAATACTTTAGCTCATCGATGCAGCGGTTCGTTGATTACGCGGCAACATGTACTCACAGCGGCGCACTGTTACCTAGTCTGGTACGTTTACCGCCCGTTTACTTGTATTTATTAACTATCAATCTCACATGTGAGTCTGAGATTTTCCAACTATCACTGAGAAAGTGCAGAACAACGAAAAGATAAGTAAAAACTTATGGCGGTAGCTTCCAGGGCGGAAAGCAAAACCTTCAGCAGACCCCTGCGAGTGGTACTTGGAAGCCGATGTACAAGATATCCCTGTGAGCACATGGAACTACATCGAGTACGAAATGTACGTGAACTCCTTCGTCAAACAATCTGTTACTTTCTTCTTTGCTTCGTCTCTGATATGCAGTAATGTCCCTTGCGTGCACGTAACCTTAGGTTTCTGGTACTCGGAATTCTGTTCCCTCAGTACTCGTTGTTGATCAGAATACTCGAGGTGAGTTGTGCAGCTGCCAGCCATACTGATCTGCTCGGCAAAAGGCTAGCAGCGCTCGGGCATTCGTTATGGAATGTGGTTCTTCGAGCCACTCTGGAATACTTGGCTTTGCGTCACGTCCTAACCCTTCAGTAAGTAGAGCTCACGGACGAACTTACGTCATTGCTTCACTCAGCGAGTGCAGGTCAGAAGGGCCACTCGTTTCGAATTGGATTGATGTCTAATTATTCGTCATCGAGATGATGATTAAAGTCAAGGATAGAAGCCGTCATTATTGCTTGACCAGGGAAATATTCTAGGAGAGGTATGAAATATGAAAGGTATGAAGAAGAAAGAAGGAAGAAGGTATGAAATCTTGCCGCAGCTCCAGAATTATACGGGGCGCACTATCGGACTAGGTTATCCGCAGCGCATGAAAGAAAGAAATAATTGTCGCGCTACGACTCTTGCGAATGTGTTCGAAGAACTTCTGGATCCAGCTCAACTCTATACATAATGGTGTTTCATTATGAAGCATTAAAGTTGAGCTTCCTAAGAGCCTCTGTAATGGAGTGTGCAGGACGCTGCTGGCTCCTTATGAAAATATTAAAAGATCGAAAGCGCTGGTGAAGGTGGAACACGCTGTAGCATGAACAACATGCCTATTGAAGCTATTGCAAATAGTGTCAGTCGTTGACACGATCCATAGTTATGGAGACATTTGTACTAGACAGTGACTCGGAGTATGGATTTACTAGTGGTCGAGATTTTTTGAATTTTCTTGGATAACTACTGACTGCAGCACTTATATCCACCTCGTGGATTGAAGCCTCGAGAATGCTCTACCATTTGTTAGTCATAAATGTTACCTATGAATTTTTCAGAAAAAAAAGAAAATTTTAGAAAGAGTGTTGCAGAACTTTCTTTCCAACCTAATATTTACTTTCACAAAAACCTTGTCAACATACAAAGGGGCTGCATCAGTTACCAGAGGAAATAAAGTGAAAGATGAAGATGTAAAATGAGACTGTAGACCCACAAGTAATTCCAGATGGGAGGCTGCCAGGTGAAACGTCAGGTGTTGGTGAAGTGGGTTGCTCTGAATGTTTGTCAACACGAAACCTCCAACCTCCATCCTACTGGGCTCGGCAACATTTTCGCAACTCCTTCTTTCCTGCTCCCTACCGCCTGTGTATCACTGTCCTGTACACCACAACATGCACAACAATTTACGACATCACGTATTGCACCATGAATTCCGGCTAATTCCATAAAATAGGTTTAAGTAGCACAGGGTTATATTCCAGGTGATCTCAGAACTGTTGCTAAAATTCGACAAAGAAAAGCTAGCATCCCAAACCTTATTAGGGTACTGACACAAAGTACAAGTTCAGCCTGCTTGTCTCTCTTTACGATCATGTTGCTAAATACTGCTCACCGTAATGTGGAGGAATCGAAAGAAGACATTGGGAAGTTCAGCGCAATGACATATTCTAGGAACTTATTTGAAAAACGTATTTTTCCAGGTTGCCTAATTCAGCCACCCAGAAGCTTGTCTCCACTGAATTTTACTCGATTGTCAATAGCTTAAGAAGAGCGCTATCCCTAACAGTGGACTTGTGCTTCATTTCAGATCTACTTCCCTCAAGACGCAAAGTACGGTAACCCGCACGATATCGCCATTGTTCAACTCGAGAAACCAGTGATGGAGAAAGGAGTCTGGCCGATCTGTCTCCCTTCAGAGCATGACCAGATACTTCGTGGAGAAATTGCACGTGTTGCTGGATGGGGAATCGATCGTTAGTTCGCTATTGAAAATGCTTATTTCATATCATTTTATTTTTTATATTTTTATCGCTTATTAATTTTCTCGCCTCACTTTCTCGAGCAACAAAATGATTGCGGAAACTAGTAATTTTTTCAACTCAGACAGTTCTTTTCTCTTTTTTTCCACAACTTTTTACCTTCATCTTTAGCGAATCCTATGACATCAACCTTGGTCTTCATCCAGGAACCCAACGCTTTTCCAGCCCGTTCAGTCCCACAATTTAACGAGCCTCTCTGAGAGGTCGGGGTCCTACGAAACCGATTACCGTACTGAGGATTTCCTCAAAATCGGAGCATCAGATGTAACCCATTTCTCCCGCCTTTGGCGCAGAAGCGCTCCCAAACAGTTGCTCTCTCACCTAGTAGTTACCCACGCTACCTCGAAGTAGACTGTGAGGTTTTTCTGGGGCGACTCCAGATCGCCTACCATATATTGAGTGGTTCATAATTGTCTTCTACACCGAGCGCACCATAAGAATTAGCCACTGGAACATGGTGCACTATTTGAGCTCAACGAGGTCTCTGATGGGTGATCGACCACTACGACGCTGTCTGAAATGGTCGGAAGCGGTACTGCCTAGTTGGAGCTACTCCCTGTAGTGAACTATCCATCAAAGAAATTCTGTATAATATCAGCCTAAGGCTGCAGCAGTTGCGGCAGGCCTCCTTGAACTTGACGGCAAAGGCGGA